AGTCTAACTTTTTCTCGTCTGTCTTTTGTGTAGTTTTCCTTTTTAAGTAACCCGTTTTGCACGTCTAACTGTTTCTGTGTTTCCTTTTGTCTTGTTGAATCTGTTTTTATTGTGATTATTCGTATTCATCTTTTTGTTTATTATTATTTTATTTTTCCGTTTCCGTTTTACGTAAAAAAAAAGCTTGTTTTAAAAGGATACAAAAAATGGGCGCCGAAAAGGCAGTTAAAAAATCTATTTGGGACCAAGAAAAAACCTCCCGATAAGCAACCTGAAAATGATCAAGATAAGGAATTAGTGATGGCTGCCAAAAGGGGCAAAAATTTGTAAGTTATCAGCGAATGTCTGTATTCCGCCTAAAGTATGGTGTCCGCAAATGACAAAAATTTTGAGAAAACAAAGTTTTCAGACTAAAATATGGTGGCCGAAAACAGCCAAAATGTACAAATCAGAACCAAGAAGCTGACGGCAAATTAAACAAAGACGGAAATGTAGCGGTCGGAGAGACGCTCTGTTGCTGGACGTCCCTGCCGAAATGCAAAATCAACATCACACAGTTCTTGGAGAAAGCCAAGAGCTACGCACATCTGGTCATAGAAGATGGGCTCTTGACAAATCCTGAGGAACTACAGAAGGTTGAAAAAGAATTGTGTCAGTCTTTTTGGTTGACAAGCGTTCGCGCAAAATTTGTCACTTCATAAAAGACATCATAATTAAAGCTTTGACATCCCTGGAGTTTAAACCCCAGAGAGTCATCAAAGAAAAAGGGTTTTATGTGGGACATACTGTTATACACGCCTGCCGACTGCGAAGCCACCAGCAGTCGATACCTAATTACAAAAGACCTCATTTTGAGGACTGAATATCAGGACATGACCACGTTTCAGTATACGAGGTCCCTCCTCAGATTATGGGGGCCCCTTATCTGTCCCACTCAGATACTCAGTGCTTCTTCTGACGATCTAACCGGAGGATGGAGCTTCGAGATAATGATAGATCGTAAGACCTTCGTCTCCATCTCCAACTGTCTAGATGTAGAGGGCCAGAAAATGCCTATTATCGTCACAGGCCGAAAACCAACTTACTGGAAGTGGGGAGAGGCTGGTCACCTCTCCTCTTCCTGCCCGGAGAAGAAGGCCTCTGGAGTTCTGCTCCCGCCGACCTAAATCCCCCTCTGGCCGAGTCTGTTGTTTCCGCCTCGCCTGTAATGGGAATGCCAGCAGCCGGGAACGGTGTGGTGAAACCCCCGGTTGGGTCCGTCTCACGGCCCCCATTCTCCGAAAAGTCTTTGCTTGCCGCTTATGCTGTTGCGGAGAAGGAAAAGAGTGAATGGCAGGTTGTTGGTAGGGCTAGAGTGTTCTTGCTAGGTGTTGTGAGAGTCGTGATTTTGACGACACGTCAGAAGAGATATAATAGGAGACGAGAAGTTCACTTCTTCCCAATTGATCATGTACTTTAAGCATCAGCTTAGTCAAGATTAGGACGGAAAATCGGCGGCTCTCTTTATCAGATTTTGGCAAAAGGTGGGTAAATCTTGCGTGCTTGTGTCGAGTGAGAGAGGCTGACTTTAGTTACATTTTAGTGGCACTTTAGTGATTCTTTAGTGCCGGTTAGGCATCAGGATATCGTTCTCTCTGTGTTGAACATAGACTAACCCCGCCTAGGTTTAGGTTAGTTTAGGTTTCTGTTTTGTCCTTAGTTTCTCTCTTTAGGTTAACTTAGCCAGAGGATGCTTGCTCATTGGTCCCTTTTATTTCTGTACTGATTTTTTTCTTTCGTTTAATTCCCCATCCGCTCTCTCGTTAGGTGGTTAGTGATATCATTTCTCTGGTAGATGCGGAGTGCTTTTCATTTTGGATGTGATTTTCGAATTTGTTGTTGTCTGATAAGTAAAATCGCGTTGTTTTGGTGAAAGGAATATTGTTGTATATTTGGATCCGTGTTTAGTGGCTAGCTAAGTTTAAAGTTAAAACAGAAGAAGACTGTTCTTTTTCCCCCATTCCCTTTTTGGCCTTGTGCCACATTTTGTATCATTATACAAAAAAAAATAATGTATTGTTCGGAGGCATTAATATTCTGTGATTTAAAAAGTCTCTCCTACAAACGGGTATTACTAAAGGTATCCATTTTAATTGTTGCTATTGTTGATAGTCCGCTGTTATCTGATACAGTTTTTCCGTGATTCTGTAGCGCCATAACTCAAAGAAGGATTGTTTTCGCCAAGACCCACTGGTTTCACTCGCTTTAAGCCATCTTTAATCATTGATCTGAGAAAGTGGCTGTAATGTTGTTTTATTGACCTACTAATTAAAGATTTCGTAATTCGGATAAGCACATTTTACTACAAATTTCTATATTGAAAAGCGTGAGTATTCTGGGTGTGTAACTGTTAACGGTGTAGAAAGTGGAATTGGAGAGTCGAGTTCAAATTCCGGACGAGTTGGTTGCGCTCACTTTCTTACAACTGTTCTTGCGAAAGGCATGATTCCAGCTACGAGTTAAATAGAAGGTTAGATTGGGCTTTCAAGTCTTAGTTGAAAACCAGTCTAAGAGAAAGAAAACTCTAAATTTCGAACTGTGGAGTAATCAAATGAAAACTTTACTATACTTCCTAAAACAATCCCATAGCAGTTCACAGATAAGCAAGAAGAAACCGCGAACAGTCATGACTGCCCACATTCTGAAAGGAAATAATTTTTTTTTTAATCCACATTTATTAAAATCGGATCAAAAGTCTGATAAAGAATACTATAAAATAATCCCCGCAATTCGAATGTCTATTTTTCAACTACACGAGTGAATGTTTGCCCTTCAATAAGAAATTAATAATATAATTAATATAATTAGCAATAATTAGCAAAATGTATAATTGAAATAAAATGACAGAAAACTTTTATAGTGTTGTTTTTCAAAATGTTCTTGTTGACGAAACCTTTGGCTCTCAAGCTAGCGCCGTCTCTCCAAACACAAATATGTGGATACATCTTTCTTATTCACAACTAATCAAGCACTGTATATAAACATTTGGTAATGGTAATATTAAACATTTGGTAAAGCTAATAACAATATTAGCCATTTGGTAATGATATTTGTAATATTAGGCATTTGGTTATGGTAATGTTTGCAATTTGGTAATGGTCATGGTAATATTAACCTTTTCGCAATAGCAATGGTAATATTAGCCACTTAATAATAGTTATAGTAAAAGTAATCGTTTGGTAATGATAATGGTAATGTTAGGCGTTTGTTAATGCTAATGGCCATATTAATCGTTTTGTAATGATAATGGTAATGCTAGGCGTCTGTTAATGCTAATGGCCATATTAATCGTGTGGTAATGATAATGGTAATGCTAGGCGTCTGTTAATGCTAATGGCCATATTAATCGTTTGGTAATGATAGTGGGAATGCTAGGCGTCTGTTAATGCTAATGGCCATATTAATCGTTTGGTAATGATAATAGTAATATTAGCCATTTCCCATCAAGGAAACGTTTGGCATTCATTGACCGAGCAGCTTGTACTGCTGTAGGTTGGAATTTACAGAATCGTTCTCTTAAAACAATTTTTTAGGGAAATGGGCTTCTCAAGTCCAGTAGCTGTCATCGCTTTTTCATTATTGATAGGGGTTTCGATCCTTACCTTTCGTTTGAAGTATTTTAGAAAGTTACAATCATGATTATTTTCTTTTTGAGTTGCAAGTGCTATCCATTTTAGTTGTTGCTGCTGTTGATAGTCCTCAAGTGATGTTGTTCCTGCTATTTGCTATAGTTTTTTGTTTATGATAACTTAACAGGATATATATATATATATATATATATATATATATATATATATATATATATATATATATATATACAATTATAGCTATATAGCGAGACTCTTCGCAAATGCGAATTGAGTCACTGTCGGTCACTGGGCGTGTTTCTAAAAATAAATACGGCTTAATGGTTAGAATCTCTGACTGACACCAATTCAGACGGGTTTCGATCCTAGCTAGAGGCAACCGGATGTCTAGTCACACTGATGAGCTGCGAAACAGTCTGTCTGTGGATGACGTTATATATTTCTTTTAGGATATTACTTACGAAAAAAAAGACAAAGAAAAAGAGGCCGTAATTTACTTTTAAATGTAAATAATTCGTTCACTCGCCTGATGAGATGCATTTGAATAGCATCGAAACATAATTGAGAGATTTTGACATGTTTTCGATGTAACATCCTAAAATAAATAATATTGCTCTACTTTGTATTGAACCCTTTTTTAAATTAAATATTATGAACGTTGAAATTGCACTCTATTCATTCTCATCTTACCTGGATATCTATCTATCTATCTATCTACCTATATATATATATATATATATATATATATATATATGACGATTGCATCTAGCATGAAACAGACTGTCGCATCAAAGTGTTGACTTCTATGTTCACTTTTATATTTACAGACGCTCTATCTCTGATTTATTCCATAAATATAGCACATCTTAAGATTATATTTCTTATATATATATATATATATATATATATATATATATATAGAGAGAGAGAGAGAGAGAGAGAGAAAGAGAGTGAGATACATAGATAGAGAGAAGGGGAGAGAGATAATAAAGGTAATAAATCTATTGGTACATAATCCAAGTGGGTCATAGTAATATAAAATGTTAAAACAAATTCACAAAAAGAGCTCGATGTATTTATTATAACAGAGCCAATAAATCGTATTACACAACAAAATCCCAAATTACCCCATATCAGGAGGATAGATCTATTTCAAGCGACGAAAACTACATCAGTCTTCAATCCAAGTGTATACATGCACACACACACACATATATATATATACATATATATATATATATATACATTCGTATTTACTGAATGTTATTTGAAAGAATGTTTTAATCAGAACAATTATTTATTAACTTTATTAACTTTATGATAATATGACGTCAGTTTTTTTTTTCCTAAATGATTGTCCAGTGACTTTTGTGGTCAGCTTCCCAACTGATTTACGAAACCTTTATAAGGCGTTTCAATTTCGTGGTTTGTTGCCTTTTGTATATTCCACATTCTTTTGTTCCGTTTGAACATAAAAATACTAAATACAGTCAAAGCTACCACAAGAACACCAGCAGCGACTGAAGCTCCAATAACTGCTCCTCTTTTAAATTTATGACTTTTTTGTTGCGACCATTCATCAGTTTTTACACTGTTATTTTTGCCGTTCGAATCTGTTGTCCCATAATTTCTATCTTGAAGGATATCAGTCGTTATGGTCGGTTTCGAGTGGTGGTTTGTGTTCAATATACTAATAGGCTTACCACTACTGCTCACAAATGTTGATGTAGTACCTCCTGGTGGTATTCGTCGAGTGGTAGAGAATTCTAACGACGTTGTCGGATTCCCAAATCTTGATTGGCATTGTTTCTCCTTAGAACCGTCTCCAGCTGAGGAAAAATAAAATGTAAATTATTATTAGATTGATTTTAAAGCATTTTTTGAAATACAACTTGCACTAAATTTAAGAATATATATATATATATATATATATATATATATATATATATGTATGTATAAACAGGTTCTTTTTACTGCCACACCAAGTCACCATTGATTTAAATATAAGGATCATATTTCCCATTTTATTGTTTAGATACAAAAGTATCTCATTGAAGAAATAAAGGGGGGTTGGGCGCCTTTCGGCCGACACTTCATTAGAAAAATAATTGTCAGCTGTATAAAACAAAAGAAATTGATAAGAAAAATTATTATCCTTATATTTAAATTTATATATATATATATATATATATATATATATATATATATATATATATATATAAGAGATTTCTGCAATAATGTAAGAATTCCATATTATATAGAGTATTACTCTCTCATACCCTTCCTGCTGAGCAAAGAAAACACACATTTGTTCAGTTGTGATCACTGGAGTCTCTTCCCTATACAATTACAATTTATATAGACTGTGATGTTTTTTTTCTTTACTATCAAAGATGTTTCCTTAACAATCTTTCTCGTAAATTTCTGACACAGATTCAAGTATTAAGCGCCTGGAAATAATTTGTTTGATTTTTTCTATTCTGCGAATATCTTATACAACATTGAGCTACTATCATTAGGTTATGATACTGTAGCTTCAGAAGCCTTTATTTATTTAACAGAGTGCTGTTGCAACATCTATGCCTAAACAATTAGGTTTCAACTCAGCAATGTTTGTTTTTTCTTTCTGGATGCAAAGCAAGTGTCTTTGTTAATTGTTTTTTAAATCATATTTAGGTTAGTTTTGTTTGTTTAATGGCATATCAACTACTTATGGGTCATTTAATGCCAAAATGTAATTTTCCTGGGAGATTTAGTAATTTTCTGATACTTTCTTTTATTTTCTAGGAAAATATATTGGTGGTAATTTTTCTAATATATATTTATGTTTTTATTTTTATTTTGATATTTTCATCCCAGTTTGGGGGTGTGGTTGACTATTTGTCCATAGCAAGGAATGTAACAGAAGCTGCCACCTCGGGTTAAGGCAGCAGTTGAAAGGTGGTTCAACTTTCCTCAACAACCTCTTGATCAGATGGCTTGCTACTGGATGTAGTTTAACGTCATGCCCAGGACGTTTATCCTTGTCACCTCTTTGTTTGTTTGTTTGTTTTTTTTTTACTTTGATGCAATGTTATTGGCCCTGACCTGGCATCTTGGCATTGCATATATATATATATATATATATATATATATATATATATATATATATATAATGAGTACAGACGATCCTTAAAAATCCATTTTAAATCATTTTTGGTTTGTTTGTTTGTTTAACGGCATATCAACTACTTATGGGTCATTTAATGCCAAAATGTAATTTTCTAGGGAGATTTTTGCATTCTATGAAAATGCTTTGGTGGTAATTTTTTCTTATATATATATATATATATATATATATATATATATATATATATATATATATATATATATATATATATATTAAACCTATAAGAACCAGACAAACCTACCAAGGTTTCACCTAAGCGTATTGTCAGGGAAGCCAGCCTTCCCTGACGATCCACTTAGGTGAAACCTTGGTAGGTTTTTCTAGCTCTCTAGGTGTAAGTAGGTCTCCTCTACTTACTTGAGCACTTTATTTAGTTATTTTACTTATTCGTATCGGGGTTTTTTCTTTGGACTTTCGACTTGCATGCTAGACGATTATTTTCGGCTAACGTATATGTTCTTCGTTCTTTCTTTTTTATACCTTTTTACCCGTTGGTATTAGTTTGATTACTTGCAAATCTGGGATCCTAACTGGTGCTGCCAACCCGGGTAAGGGTTGATCTTGGAAATAAAAGTAATTAAATGGTGATTCCACGCTCCTCAGAAAACTCCTGATCAGATAACTTGCCATTGGATGTAGTTTAACGTCTATACTCAGGGCGTTTATCTTTGTTATTTTTTGTTTTGTTTTTTGTTTGTTTCTTTCTTTCTTTTCTTTTCTTTGATGCAATGTTATTGGTACTTACCTGGTATCTCGGCTTCAATCACTGTCTTACCGCTGTAACGTAGCTTTCGAAGATCGCAAAATCGTGAAACCTAAGGTCACAAACAACTCCCCATACAACCAGATATTTACATATATAATCGCTCCCGCCAAAATAACCGTTAGAATTGACTACCCACAATGCACCACTGACCCATATATATATATAGTCGAAAAAAACAACACAGGTGACCTGATTATTGCGTCGAGCATGAAACAGTCTGTCACCTTTAAGACTTCAATAATTATATATATATATATATATATATATATATATATATATATATATATATATATATATAATGCAGACGATCCTTAAAATCCATTCGTTTATAATTTATTTCATGAATATACAAATATTCATCTCTTCAGGCCGAATTTTTTTTTTTTTTTTTAATAATGGGGTCAATTTATCCGGGAAAAAGGAAAAGAGAGGAAAAAGAAAAACGAAAACGAGAAAAATTAACATTAAAAGAGGAAGAAAGAAAAATAAAAAAATATTTACGTATGTATATTGTATATAATAATTTCTGTATTTAATAGGAGTAGATAGGTACGCCTATCGCCCGGGTCACACTCCTCCATCATCTTTCGAACAGAAGTAGAGGTTTATCCCTTGTTTAGGCCTAGATTTTCGGTACCTTCTTAAGTCTACTTCAACTCTACACTTGTAACGGTTTCCTTTTTTACGCTAATACAACTACACACTGTAACTTGAGTGGCTCTTGGGCCTTGTCTTGAGGCAAAATGTTTAAGCACGCGCGTGCATACGCACACAAACATAAACACAAAAACTAGCAAGCATAATTTTCAACTAGATGGAGAACATATCGTTCTGTCACACCAAAATATACGTTTCAATTTTTTTTCCCAGTTTGTCTATCAAGTAACTAAGAGTTGAACGATGTTGAAAAATACACACATCCATCGGGTTATAAACGAATTTTACGGTATAACAAAGATGTCTTTTGAATTTTTACCGGTAAAAATTTGTTTTCTTCTCAAATGATCTATTGATCCAAAATTCGCTTTTTCTGTGAAGTTGGAATATGCAAAACATTGAAACGAAATCATACTTGGTATTTTATGAAAGAAAGTGTTACACACACTAATTGCAACATAAAGAAGACAAAACGTATTGGACTTACCCTTTGCTATGTTTCCAATGGCGATTGTTGCATCTCCACTAACTGAAGCATCGATGTATACATTAACTACAGGATCAAAATGCTGTTAAGAAAGGAGAAATACAACATATATTCATCTACCAATAAATTCTCAAAAATAAGACCCATTTTGCCACCCTCCTTTTGTAAAATACATTAAAAATTAGTTTTATTTATTTAAACAGATAAAGTTCTCCCTTGTGCAAATTATCCGTTATTATTTACTTTTCCAAACATGAAACATGACCTAGTGCACATGTTAGTACTTCGTATGTCCATTCCACGAAGTCGTTCCTTGCAGATTGACCACAGATTATCAATTGAATTTAAATCAGGAGAGTCTAAGCCACTCGATAATACTTTGCTTTGCGCACTGGTAACGGTTTCCAGTGTGTTCGTGCAGCTTTACAATATTCGTACGCTTCCTTGGAGTAACGTCCATCTCAGACAATGATCATTGGACAACTAATCGACAGTCGGGACAATAGTGTCTGAACGTGGTGAAAATCTGATGCAATCACGAATGACGCAATATTTTTCAAGGCCAAACAGTTTTCATCATACACCTCAAAAACAGATTCATATTAATCCACACCACTGCAAATGACCTAATCTGAGGAAAAATAGAAATCGATTACAACCTGTTGTACCAGGGGGTCTAAAAAATACCCGTATGGTGAATGAAAAGAAACTAAAGGGGTTGTTTCAATTAATTTGCGCAAGGGTGTAGTTTTATTAATTTTCAAACTATATTTGAAGTATTTTTACAAGTTAGTATCCTCAAACATACAACAATTCTACCAAATTCAAATTATACAAAGAAGTATCCGTAATATTATTGGTCTTGATCTGGCATCTAGGCTAAAGTCACTTTTCCAACGCCATAACGTAGCTTCCCTCTGTCTTTTGTATGAATAACTTTCAAATGAACTTCGTTCTTAGGTACCTAGATTTTTTATGAATTTAAGCGTGCTTCTAGATTGGTAGCAAGGTATCATTGTTTTACAGTTGAAATGGCTAGATGTAAGCGTAATTTCTATGCTAAGAGTTTCTTCTCTTGCACTTCTTACTTGTGGAACTCTCTTCGAGTTTCTTACTTTCCAGTTAACTCTAACCTTGAAAACATTAAATGTAATGCAATTCGTATTCTTCAGTCTTTTTTAAATGTAATGTCAATCGCTAACTTTAGTCTTCTTAATTTCAGTTCTTTTTCTCTCTTCAATGTATTATTTTCTCGTATTCTCTCGCACCCAGTAACCGTTTCTGCATTAGTGGCTTTATTGCCTTGCTTCAGGTGAAATGATTAAAAAAACCCACCAGATCTGCTAAGCTATGAAAGTTTTACTTGTACAATGTTTACTGAAATAAATCCGTGTATTTTATAAGAATTCATTTTATAAATTTCTGAAATGGAAAATGAGATTAATCAATGATTGGTTTTAAGGTTCGCTTTCCGACCATGAGACTCGAGTAAATCACATATATATGTCCAACAATTATTTTAATAAAATAGCATATAAAAAGAATATATATATATGCGTGTGTGTTTGTCTATGATTTACTCATCTTTTTATAATACATATATCCATTAAGAATTGGACAAAGTCCGACAATCTATTAAAGACATTTTTATGTTTAACATTCTTTTTATAGATACAAGTATTTAAGTAAATGCTCTGTTTATAATAAACAATATTAAATAACATTTACCGGCCTGAATGTACGAGAAATTTTCATAGAAAATATTCGTCCTTTGACAGGATTCGAACCTGCATCCTATACAGAACCGTCATTTACGCTGACGTGCCTTAACCGACTCGGCCACAAATGAGCATTCGGTAGACAAGGTCGAATTTACTGCTTATAAACTTCAATCGTCCATGAATCTCGTACATTCATAACTGCTCATGGCGTATCAAATGTAAACAAATGACGTCATACATTAAGAATTGGACAAAGTCCGACAATTTATTAAAGACATTTTTATGTTTAACATTCTTTTTATAGATACAAGTATTTAAGTAAATGCTCTATTTATAATAAACAATACTAAATAACATTTACCGGCCTGAATGTCCGAGAAATTTTCATAGAAAATATTCGTCCTTTGACATAAGCAGTAAATTCGACCTTGCCTACCGAACGCTAATTTTTGGCCGAGTCGGTTAAGGCACGTCAGCGTAAATGACGGTTCCGTATAGGATGCAGGTTCGAATCCTGTCAAAGGACGAATATTTTCTATGAAGATTTCTCGGACATTCAGGCCGGTAAATGTTATTTAATACTGTTTATTATAAACAGAGCATTTACTTAAATACTTGTATCTATAAAAAGAATGTTAAAACAAAAATATATATATATATATATATATATATATATATATATATATATATATATATATATATATATATATATATATATATATTATGGGGACTGGACGAAAAGATAGAAAGAAAGAAGGGACAAAAAGAAAGTAGGGGAGAAGAAAGAAAGAAAGAACCAAAGAAGGAATGGAAGAAAGAAAGAACGAGTTAGAAAGAAAGAAAGAAACACGGATAGATAGCCGCGTTTAACGCCTTCTTCTAGTATCGCATAAATAATGGACTATTCCATTTTGATTGCGTGTAGAAAAAATACATACAAAAGAAAGAAAGAAAGACGACAAAGGGGGAGAAAGAATGGAAGATAGGCGTGGTTAACGTCTGATTCAGCGAAATGAAAAAAGGTGTCAATTTCAAATCTTTCATTTGTACCCACTTCTTTAAAACCTACCGGCATTCCTATTTAGGTGACCATGGCTTCCAGTTTTTTGCTGTTCTCATAGTTTTTGACCTTTTGTCATCTTTCTTTTTTTCCCTGTTCTGCCTTTAATTTAACTCACAAAGTGGGTAACTCGATTTCTCCTCGCTTCTCTTTCCTTCAATATGTCCCGTGAATGTTAAACGTTCCAAGCAATTTTCCCTGACGCATCCTAGACATTTCAGAAGTGTTTTGTTTTTTAATTTAAGCGCTAATATTGATAAAATTAATGTCGCTACGATCTGGAAAAAGGCAATAATCTAAATCGATGAACGAAAATATATTAAAATGCTACTTACAATAAGTTGGACGGTTATGTCTACTTTGTTCCATTTTAGACCTTGAGATGTACTGCAACTCCATAGCTGATAGCGTCCAGCAAAGCCATAATGCACACCAAGATTAAGAGACATGTTTCCCGTCCCGTTCATTAAATAATGAAGTTGAAATTTAAATTCTTTTAGTCTAACCAATAAAGCAGCATGTTTGCAGGTATCTTTTGATAGCATTAAGTAACCTGTAAATAAACAATAAAAATGATTAACACACGTACATTTATACTTATCATATATATATATATATATATATATATTTATTTATTAAAGACATTTTTTTTAATACAAAATGTTGTTTATAAACATTTAAGCAAATGCTCTTAAATAACTTGAGCATTTCTATAAATAAACAACGTTAAACATAAAAAAAAATGTCTTTAATAAATAAATTGTCGGACCTTGTCCATTTCTTAACATATATATATATATATATAAACATAAAACATTAGGCAGCATATAATTTACATACAAAGAAATAATCACACATAGAATCAATCAGAAGTATTAATCGCTAGAAAACATAATATATGCATTAAAATACTGTTCATCCATAGTGCGAGTTGATCCTCGTTGATAAACTTGTTGTCTGTAGTTTTCAGTTTATTTGATGTTAAAAAATAGCAGATATTCAAAAAACATCTTTCGGTCAACATACAGGTATATCGTCTTCAAGTTTTTGATTTCATAAGGAAAAAAACACATGCCTGATGATGAATAGAAGACTATTCGTAAGTACTAGCATTTTAACATCAAATAAACTGAAAACTACAGAGAAGGATTGAGGAAAGGATAAGAGAAGACCGGAGACCAAGGGAACAGAAGATGGGGATTTACGTTGCATTAAAGTTTATGAAGCATACAAGTACAACATATAAGTACATCTGTGAAGCATGGCGGAGGCAGTGTCTTGGCATGGGCTTACATGGCTGCCTCTTGAACAGGCTCATTCATATTTGTTGATCATATGACTCACAATGGTAGTAGCATAATTAATTCAGAAGCCTACAGAAATATTTTGTCTGTCTCTCCACAGAATAAATAAAAACTGAAAGAGGCTGCGTTAAAAGCCAGGAAAAGAATCACAAATGAAAAATGCAATAGTTTGTTGACGTCAATGGGTTGCAGGTTTGATGCAGCAATTTCAAGCAAGGATTATGCAATCAAATATTAAATGTTTTTTTTTTACTTTAAGACTGTTTCATAATTTTTTGGATTAGATGCATATTGTGCCACATAGGGAAAATGTAGATGCAGATCTATTTTATTAAGAGTAGGCACTTAATGCCTTGCCTAACTAGACAGCACGTCTCTGATACATTATAAAAATATATATATATATATATATATATATATATATATATATATATATATATATATATATATATGTATAAAGCATATTTTCTTTATTAAATTTTCTCAAATGTACAGGCCGATGGACGAAATAAATGCTTTAAAAAAGGTGTGAGTTGACTCAAATATGGATACCCACTAAAAATAACGTTTGAATTAATTAATTAAAACACAGCAATCCCTCGATTAACGCGCATTCCATTAAAGCGTTTTCGATTAGTGCGCTAAAATTATTTTATACTAAAATTCGATGAGTTTTTACGTAATACTCGATTAGTGCGGTAAAACATCTCTTCAATTTAACTAAATCATTGAAAATTGTTTTTTTGTAGTTACCGATTTAATTAAGTTTTCTAAAATATAAAAATGGAAAATGGGTTAATATTTTGTTTATTAATTTTGTTTTTATTTGAATCTTTTAATGTACACATTAGCAGCATTAATCGAGGGATTTCTGGATATATCATTGTGTGTATGCGTGTGCGTGTGTGTGTGTGTGTGTGTGTGTGTGTGTGTGTGTTTCAAACGTCATAGTTATACGATCGGAATTTATTTAATATTGTTTTGCCGCTAAAACTTCTTGGTTTCAATACATAATATAAACTCTCATAAGGGATTGATATTGAAAAAGTAAAAATTCTTACCTATTTCCCCTAAAAGTGGTGTATCCTTTACGTGCTTGAAATGACATTTATGGTAAATGTCTCTCCAGTGACAAAGATTAAATTTGAAATTGCACATAGTGTGAGTGTTACCTGTAAAAAAAAAATAAATGATGGAAGCACTCAGAAAGGTTCGAACTTGCGAGCCAATATTTGCCGAAATACACGTGTTGCTATTTATCGTCCACTGGATCGTGACATAATTAGTCTTGGAATTCATTGCTTTCCTCAGTAAGACATTTCTAATTCAGCCATATTTATGCAACGATTCTCAAAGATCACTCACTAAGTCTGATCCTCATTTAAGAGCTCACTTGACCTTGTGCCAGACTAATCTATACCTATGAAAATTATCTACAATACAAAAATATTCAGGACAAACACTCAATAAATATAAAACGAATGAAAAGGATACACAATTTTATTCCTGAAAGAAAGAAATAAATAAAGAAAGACAGATTTTTTCAGAATTTTTTGGGATTATAAATTATTATGTACTGTTGTAATCGGATTAGAGTCCTCATCTTGGTTGTTATAGTCACGTTTCAGCCGTTGTAAACTCCGGCCTTCTTCCGTTGTCAGTTGGCGGTGATAACTTTCTGGGATATTGGAACTAACCCGTTATTCAATTCACACGGTTAGCGTCTTCTCATTCCATTTTCCATGTCAGAAAACATTCGCCGCGTGGATTGAATGATGTGTTTACTTTTATATTACCAGGTTACCAACTACTACAGATATCTGAAGAAGGCCAGGTGTACAACAACCGAAGCGTTATTACTATAATAATCAAGATAAAGATACTAGCCCATGTATATCAGTGTATAATTCGAATGCTTTTAGAATATTTATCTTATTACTATTTAGTTGTATTATATATTAATTATGTATGTGACTTACCTCGGAGTTGAGATAGTTACGTATTTCCCACCAGTACGAGAGGTGAAATCAAGCATTTCGAATGAGATTTTCTAGGCAGGCAGACTCGCCCTTTTCATTTTGAAGATTTGAGTAACGCAATCTCTCTTCTCATTCTCTCTTTAATTTGGCCTTGTGCCATTAACTAGATTTAATAAGTATCAATAAATATTTGTATAAATTTCTCATTGCCAAAAAATGTTGTTTTTTTAGTCATCAAAATTAATTATAATCAGCGTCTGTTTTTATAAATCAAATTATATCAAATTTTTCATATGCAGAAAATATATCTTTAATAGAGACCTATCTAAATGAGTTCCAACTAGTTTTAAACCGTTTTTCCTAGAACGCAAAAAATAGGTGTTGAATTATCCCAGAAAAAGACTTAAAACCACCATCCACACCTCACAATAAATCTTTGAATATATCGAAATAGTTATCAAGAATTTTCTACGGATGCCATCGATGAGGGGAGGAAAATTGCTTGTATTTTTGCGCATGTTTATTTTCACCTGCTTGTGATTTGTGATGGTGCACACCATGTGGTTTTTTTAAATATTTTAATTTGGGCTGAACGTTTTTGAATCCATGACACATCTGAATCGGTTAAAAAAGGTATATTAAAATCAACTAGTGTATCAATCTACACTAAAATATATATCATATATACATGAGAAGAATGTATATATGATATATATTTTAGTGTAGATTGATACACTAGTTGATTTTAACATACCTTATGTTTTCCAAACGTAGTCCATCCAAGGCTTATTCAACACTTTACAATGATTGATATTATTTTCTTACCTTTGATCTTTCTTTCCCTTTGCCTTAATATATTTGTATATACCAGGTTGGCCAGAAAATCCTGACTCACTTACCAAGCGGAAAACCAACAACTTTTGATCTCTGTCTGGTGGAATTTCCAAGGAGTACTACATTTTGAGTTTGTTCAAAACAGTCGCGCCATCAACTCTAAACTGTATCGTCAACATCTAGACATCGTGTACGACGAAATAAAGAAGGCGTGCTTTGGACAATCAAGATCGGACATTGTTTTAGCAAGACTAGGCGAGACTACACAATGCCATCTTGAATAAGGAGAAATTCAAACAGATGGACGGTGTTGATATTCTTCCACATCCACTATTCAGTCCTGATGCTGTGACTATGGCCTATTGCGTTCAATGGCACACTTCTTCCGCGACCAGCGATTCAACACTTTTAATAAAGTGAAGGAAGCTTGTTTACAAGTTTGTTTTTAATTCGAAACCAGCGGACTGGTATCTGGGACAGATTCGGATGATTTTTGATCGCTGGCAGAAGATTACCGATAATGATGGACATTTTTTTGAAGAATAAATATAGTACTTGCTCCATAAAATTTTGTTGTTTTCTTTTTCGCTTTCTAAGCGAGTCTAGACATTCTGGCCATCCTAATATTTTGGGAATACTTACTTTTCAAAAGTCCGTTTTTAAAGCCATAATAAAATGTACTGCTGCCATAGTTTGTATTTCAGTTTAAAATATTTAACTGCAAATTAAATAATGAGTTTAAAAAAAACAGTTTAATCTTAATCTTGAAAGGTGTATATTACCTGGGTTGACGAGCGGTGTTGTTGGTATGGTCGTTTTCATTCTTGGTATTTTAGTCGTCGGTTTAATAATCGGAGGGCTTGGTGGACAGCGATGCTCGATATGACCGTTTTTAGCTACAAGTAAACGGAGGAGAAACATGCACAAAGTTAAAGTTTTTGTCGAAGCCTGACTGCGATAACGTTTCATAACCAGTGCGCCGGGCGTATTAATGTGTCTTGAAAGATATCCAGGTACGCCCCATTTAACAGAAGAATAATCTGTGATTTATTTTGAAATTTTACAAACTTTATTTTTAAAAATGTAGAGATACCACGCACCTGATTTCCATGTCGATGTCAAGTCTATTTTAAACTGTTTGTTAAATTCTTTAATCTTCAAGAAGGAGTGGATAATCCTTTTCCTTTTGCCTTTCTCGGGGGATCTAAATCTGCCTCTCTAAAAAACTGAAAATAGCAGATTCTTCATAAATCCCTTTAAATTAAAACCGTACCGCTAATCTTCTTTGGGAATCATGAAGCACAATTTCCATGACTAAATTTTCCTTACTAA